CAATGCTCCTGAACTGATTTTGCGGACCCTAACTACTCGGGATAAACCATATTAAGAAGTTACGAAAAGGCGCAACGTGGTGTTGACTCGGATTAATTAAAGACCAATTTCAGATACAAACTAAATTGTTCCATCACCAACGGCCAAGAACTAATTAGATAGTCGTTGAGAGTTTCATAAAGTTATAATCGTAGATAGAGCAGTTTTCAGGTGGATATCAAAAATACTTTGCTGCGCTGAACGAGGAGACAGGTTTTGTGAATACAAGACGGAGGCAAGTTTGGAATACATCAGAAATGGGGCGATTTGAGAAAAATAGAATAAATACTAGTCCTTAAGATGAGGCCAAAGATGAAAGACACACCGAATAATCCACATTTATTGTATCGATTATAAACCTAGAATAATGCCAGAATGACAAGTTAAGCGAGTTATGTTAAAGTCTTCCTAGTATGAAGATGCAAATGCTCATCAAAACAATAACGTAAATTGGACGAGCTCTAATAGAAAATAACGACAGAACTGACTTAGCTTACGTATTATGGTATAATGGTATGGATAGCGAATCCATGAAAGAAGTATCTTATCGCTAAGCTGATGAGAAATGGGAATGAGAATGAAATCAAAAGGGAACTCGCATGACGCATGTTTAGGGTATAGGGATAACATTAAGAGGTATTAAAATACAGGACAAGATTGAGATCACTTAAAGAATAGCTAAGATCGCAAGGCCCCAACAAGTTGCTAATGCTTTGAGAGCGAACGTTAAGGGACGGAAACTCGTTACGAGTTGATATGACAAATAAGAAGCAACCTGCAAGCGCACATCCACCCCATTAAGGTGGATTGAATCCCCCATGGTTGACTTTAAAATTCGCATAACCAATCAGGTTGCAGCGTTTTCTAGTACTTCGCTGACCAATTATCGTTTAGCAAATTCTCATTGGCTAATTCAACTGAGGAACAAAGGCGAACTATATAAACAAGGTCCAGCGTACAAACGCTGTTCACGTTGTATACCTAGCGTCTGTACTCTTATAATGTCTGGTCGTGGCAAAGGAGGCAAGTCCCGCAATAAGGCAAAGAGTCGTTCGGCCAGAGCTGGCCTCCAATTTCCCGTTGGCAGGGTGCACCGCCTCCTGCGCAAGGGTAACTACGCTGAGCGCATTGGTGCCGGAGCCCCGGTCTATCTTGCCGCTGTTCTTGAGTACTTGGCCGCCGAGGTTCTCGAACTCGCAGGGAACGCGGCTCGCGACAACAAGAAGACTCGCATCATTCCCCGGCACCTTCAGCTCGCCATACGCAATGATGAAGAGTTGAACAAACTACTCGGTGGCGTCACCATTGCTCAAGGTGGTGTGCTGCCTAACATCCAGGCTGTTCTGCTCCCCAAGAAGACAGAGAAGGCCGGCAAGTGAAGCCCCTCACCTCGCAAGGCTCTCGCTAGTGAACGTGACACCGGCCCTCTTCAGGGCCAATAAGCTGATTGTCATGATATTGTAAATACTATTTCGCATCAATTCACCTTGCGCTACATGCTTGTGTTTTTTTTCGAGGCGCGGGTCGCGCTTAGTGACGCCAGTGTTTTGCACCTCGAAAATCGACCCAGCAAAGCCTATTTCAGCTTTAGTATATGGTCAGCTCTACGCCGCCCTTTGGCGTGCTTTAATTTCGGAGCCAACAAGATTGGCAGTAACTTGGCCCCTCCGATTCGAGTCCTTGATTGAGCACGGCTCGTTCATTAGGCAAGTCTACGTGCCCAGCCTGGGCTTGATCATGTGATGCAGATTGTGCTTTCTGCACAGTGTGGAGATAAACCTTTAGCTAGTATTGACTCGTCTATTGGTTGATCCTACAGGTCCGAACCGCGAGCATCTCTCGAGCTCCTTACCTGATTTGCCCGTTCCCTCGTATCGCCCTG